GGAGGCCCCGGCACAGGATGGAGTCAAACCACTCCGTGAGGCTGCGAGGCTGTGGATCTTTAAGACCCACACGGCTACATCTGCTGCTATTCGGGAGACGTGTTCGAACCGCTGACCTCTCGGTTAGCAGGCTGACATTTAGCCCCCTGCGCCACAGGGCTCATCCTCTGTAAGCACCCTTGGGAAGCCCGTGGGGGCAGTTCCACTCTGTCCCAAGGGGGCCCCATGGCTGTGGGTTGGGTCCGGGGCGTGGCTGCCCCAGTATTGGCTTCTCTCTGTCCTCAGGGCCCTCCCAGGAGGCAGGAAGGCCCAGCAGAGCCCCCTCCACGCTACCAGTGGCCAGGCAGGACCCCTGGGAACACTGGAGAATGCCGGAAGACCCGGACCAGGTACAGGGGTGGGTCCCCCTGCCCAGCGGAGGCCCTGGCAGGTGGCCCGCGTGTGTGACGCCCAGCTTCCAGCGGCCGGCCGTCCTAGGGCGTGTCAGCTGCCTGTCTGGCGTACACTGTCACCCACGCTGCCCCCCTTGAGCACCCCAGCAGGTGGCCAGCCTGGAGTCAGGGCTCCGTTGGGAAGTGGTGGCCCCTCCCCGAGGCTCCAGCGGAGGGCCCGGCGCTGGCGCTGGCGGTGACCCGTGGCCCTCCCATACCCGCCAGGGCTTCGGGCTGCAGATGCTGGAGCAGAGCCTGCGGGAGGAGGAGCTGCACGCGCAGCACCAGGCCGCCCTGCTGCGCCTGCGCGAGAAGGCGCTCCAGGAGAAGGTGCTGGCGGAGCTGTCCTGGCTGGAGCATCAGCGAGGGTGAGCGCATGCGCCGACGCCCGGGTCTGGCCCCGCCTCCTTCCAGGCTCACGGCTTCGTCCCGGGGCTCCAGTCACCACGCGAATCCAAGCCCTCCTCCTGGCCCCGCCTCCTGCCTAAGCCACACCCCTCCCGCATCTGGCCCCGCCTCCTGCCTAAGCCACACCCTCCCCGCATCTGGCCCCGCCTCCTGCCTAAGCCACACCCCTCCCGCATCTGGCCCCGCCCCGTGGCCCCGCCCTCAGACCCCAGCCACAAATCTCCCCTGGTACTCATCTCCCAGCCCTTAGACTCAGCGCTGCCTCTTGCCTGGGTCCCTCCGTCCCTCAGGGACCGCCCCCGGCCCGGAAACGCATTTGGTAATAGGTCTTTGCAGAAATTTAGCCGGGACACTGAGAGCTGTGAGAGCCCTCGCGGCTGTCTTCCCTTTCCCGCGACTGGACGGTCACCCTCTTCCGGTCACTATTTAGTGGGATATTCTTGAGTGTCCCTTTTCTGGTGGCCTGGTTCTCGTAGGTTCCACTGCACAACAACTTGTGCTTTAAGCTGTGCCCCCACCCTCGCCACTCTCCATAATCTGAGCACATTCCAAGGACCCCAGGGGGTGGACCCACAGACTGCATGAGAAACGGGGTGCCCAGGCTGTTTGCAATGGGTCTTCCCTCAAAATGTCTAGTGGTGTAGGGAGTGATGGGTTGGGCTGCTAACCCCAAGGTCAGCAGTTCAAAACCGTCCGCCCCTCTGCAGGAGAAAGACTTGGTCTTGGAAGCTCACAGGGGCAGTCCTGCCCCCCTGTCCTGTAGGGTCACCCTGAGTCAGGGAGTTTGGAAGTTTGGCTTTGTCACTGGTGCAGGGGGGCGTCCCACTGCCTCGAGGGTAGGGCAGCACTGAGACACAGAGCTGAGACTCAGGGGCCATCCCTAGGCCAGGACCCCCTCTGGCTCATCCCGTCTTCCACAGGGGTCCTTCCCTGGAGCCCCTGGTGATCATGTCAGAAGACAGCCCCCTGGAGAGGTGGTCGGTGTACTGGGAGATTTGCCCTAGGCCCCTGAGACTTCAGTCAGGGCTGTGGAGGTCCTGCCCAATAGAATTCTCTCCAGCAGCGTGCTGCGCCCTCCCCAGAGCACAGCCCACACACACACACACACAACCGTCCTGGGCTGGGAGCCCCAGAAGTGCTGGGAGGGTGTGCCTGGGCGTGTGCGCATAGGAGGAGGGGCCCAGCTCCACACACCCCTGCCAAGCCGCCTTCTCACACTCCCCTCCCAGGTGTCTGGGGGGCAGGAGGGATGAAACAACAGAGGTAGCCTTGGAGGAGAGGAAGCAGCTCATCCTGAGTGACCTTCAGCAGGAGCAGGTGACAGCCAGGGAGGGGGACACCCCCACCGCCCAGGGCGGCCAGGGAACTCCTCACCCTCAGTACCCGCAGGCTGGGGGATGTGGAGGGGGCCCAGAGGGGCTACCTGACCTGGCAGGCAGGGTCCTGGATGCAGGCCACACGCAGCCTGTTGGACCCAGGGCCTCTCAGAACCTCAGTCTCCTCATCTGAGAGGGGCTGGTCGACACAGCTGCCCAGGAACCCCCTCTGCAGGGCACTTGATGAAGGG